GATTTTTTGTTCATTTTTGGACAATGTGGAGATAATTGTAAATAAAATCTGTGTCTGGAAAGAAAAGTAGGGGTCACCGAGCGGCCAAGATCGTTAAATCCAGGCAAAGCTATAACAATGGCCATCTGCCTTATCATTGTTCATTTTATTACTTAACGCGCGCTCTCATGCATAAAAGGATCGCCAAAAATGGCAGCACGCAAGTTAACAACACAAACTTTGGATTTTTGATAGCTTGGCTGACGTATGTGCCGTTGCCATGGCAACATGAATAAATATAAACGGCCTTTAAAATCGGCTTTCTTTGTTTCCAGAAAATCTAGTCGTTAGATTTTCTTTTTCATTTGTATGCAACAAGATTGTAACAATGGTCACAATTTAGCACTATTTTAATATTAGTTTAACAGAGGGATCTTTAATTATCGCTTGTGGAAGTTTAACTGGAATACCTAGAATCGCCTCTGTCAAGTTTCAATTTTTTTTTTCCATATTCCAGTTATTCGTCTTCTAAAGTATTTTCGTGCCAAATTTCGTAAAATTCTAACGAGTGGTTCTCGAGAAATAGGCGTATTTCCAAGAAAGCTATTCCGCATTCAATCGCAATTTTTTGTCTTACTACGCATGCTCTGCATTTAACTGGATTCTTTCGGTAAAAAAGAAAAGTCTGAGAATTGCCGGGTTCTTTGCATCGTTACCTTTTCTAACATACATTTTTGATAAAAGAGTAAACCATAAATACACTGTGTTCAATTATGAAGGGAAAAAAAGCACAGATAGCGAGGGCATTGATCAAATAAAATGATCGCTGTATCGACGCCATGGTTGCTTTGTGTAATCCTTGTGTGCGCGCTGAATGGCATTAGCAAGAGCGCGCGCGGAAACTGTGTTCGGCCACCTTAAAGTAACGTAACGCGAGGCTTACGCGCGTGACCATGTAATTCATGCTCGCGCGATGCCTTTGTAGGCTTCTGGAAGTGCGATATGACGGATCGTTCCCAGCGTTTGGGTCCAAAGTAGAGTGCCAGCCTTCGAGGAAAAGTCGCTCGTGGTAATTGGCTTCGAAATCAACGACCTTGACGTTTTCAAAGTTCATGCTGTGGCTGAAATGGCGGACATGGCTTGCAACTTAGGAGTTTAGGTCAAAGCTGCCACTGCCTTTTTGTGCTCCGCAATTCGGGTCTTTAATGATCTTTCTGTGTCGTCATAGTACACAAAATTACACTGTGATAAAAATAGATCAAGTCGACGAGTTTTATAAACATCTGAACTCAATCAACCCAAATATACAGTTCACTTTGGAACTAGAAAACACTAAATAATGGGCAAGGCTTACCTTTTCTAGACAACATTACAAGTAGACGCGGCACGGAAATTGAAGTAGATGTTTACAGAAAACCGACACCCAACGACCGTTATCTCGGTTTCTTTTCGTGTCACCCTTTTTGCCACAAAAGATCCGTGGTCAACACTTTGCTGAAAAGAGCAAACAACATTCCGTCAACGAATAAAG